CAAGTCCCGCAGAGATCTCTCCGTGGGCTGGATTGCATGAATGTGTGATTGTGCGTGTGTGATCAGCAGCATCTGGGCATGCGCAGAGTGGTTTTTGGCATCTGGGCATGTGCAGATGCGATTTTCATCATCTGGGCATGATTTTTGGACGTGATTTTTGGTGTCTGCGTGCACAGACGCGATTCCCACTGCCGCACTGCGCCGGTTTAGCAGACCCCTGCTCTAAGTTTTTAAGAGCTTAAGAACCAGGTATAAGGGGGTCCCATCCCTTCCTGTGGCTTCCAGCAACAGGCAATCTCATTCCCCCCCCCCATCTTAAATTTGGTTCTTCAAATCTCCACAAGAGTTTGTCAGCGTAACCACAGACACGAGGACCCAGTGATGCTAAGATGAAGGAAGCAGGGGAAAATCCAAGATGACCAAGCAGTCTTGGGGGCTGCTTTAATTGGAAAGTTTGTCCAGCAAGGTTTCTGGTGAGAAACTTCCCCTGGGTAGGGGGAAAAGAAGGGATTTGCTCAGAAAATGTTTCCTGGCTTGCCTTTGCTTGAGACAAGTAGCACCAGAAAAGAAACCAGATGCAAATTTGTTGTTGTTGAGTCGTTTAGTCATGTCCGACTCTTCGTGACCCCCTGGACCAGAGCATGCCAGGCACTCCTGTCTTCCACTGCCTCCCGCAGTTTGGTCTAACTCATGCTGGTAGCTTCGAGAACACTGTCCCACCATCTCGTCCTCTGCCGTCCCCTTCTCCTTGTGCCCTCCATCTTTCCCAACATCAGGGTCTTTTCCAGGGAGTCTTCTCTTCTCATGAGGTGGCCAAAGTCTTGGAGCCTCAGCTTCAGGATCTGTCCTTCCCGTGAGCACTCAGGGCTGATTTCCTGAAGAATGGAGAGGTTTGATCTTCTTGCAGTCCATGGGACTCTCCAGAGTCTCCTCCAGCACCAGAATTCAAAAGCATCCATTCTTCAGCGATCAGCCTTCTTGATGGTCCAGCTCTCACTTCCATACATCACTACAGTGGTGCCTCGCAAGACGAAATTAATTCGTTCCGCGAGTTTTGTCGTCTTGCGATTTTTTTCGTCTTGCGAAGCACGGTGTCGGGAAAGTTTTGGAAAAGCTTCAAAAACCTCAAAAAGCTTTAAAAACCTCAAAAAAGGCTACCACACCGTGTTGTATGAGTTGCTCCTTGAAGTCAAGTCGCAACTGTATTAACGGTGTTAAGAAAAAGGAAACAAACTTGCAAGACGTTTCCGTCTTGCGAAGCAAGCCCATAGGGAAAATCGTCTTGCGAAGCAGCTCAAAAAACAAAAAACCCTTTCGTCTAGCGAGTTTTTTGTCTTGCGAGGCATTCGTCTTGTGAGGTACCACTGTACTGGGAAAACCATAGCTTTAACTAGTGGAATGTATAAATTTGAAAATACAAATAAAAAACTAGATGGGCCAAGGGTCTTATCCAGCGGGCTCTTTTTATTCCTAGCTCCAAAGGATGTCCGATCCTAAGTTTTACGGGGAATGAATCATCTACTTTCACCTGTGGCATCGCACTCAGGGCATTGTGGGTAACGAAAATGGCAGCTGCCTCCTGTAGCTAACGGGGTGACTGGAAACACACACCCCCCCGGAAAACCAGCTCTGCCTTTCTGCTCATTATGCAGGCGAGGCCGGACGAAACCTTACAAACCCACAACATTGTTCTCTTCCTTGATGACGTGAAACCCCCCCCCCACACACACTCCAACCCACCTCATTTGGTCACCGCAATCCATTCAAGTTTGTTCTGTCCTGAACTTTTACACACTGACTCCCTCTTTGCCTTGAAGGTCAAGTGTGGGAAGAGGAAGAGAACAGGACAGAACGAGGGAATCAAATTCTACCAGCAGATTGCACCAGATGCTGCTGCTGTTGTTGTTTAGTCACTTAGTCGTGTCCGACTCTTGGTGACCCCCTGGACCAGAGCACGCCAGGCACTCCTGTCTTCCACTGCCTCCCGCAGTTTGGTCAAACTCATGCTGGCAGCTTCGAGAACACTGTCCCACCATCTCGTCCTCTGTCGTCCCCTTCTCCTTGTGCCCTCCATCTTTCCCAACATCAGGGTCTTTTCCAGGGAGTCTTCTCTTCTCATGAGGTGGCCAAAGTATTGGAGCCTCAGCTTCAGGATCTGTCCTTCCAGTGAGCATTCAGGGCTGATTTCCTTCAGAATGGAGAGGTTTGATCTTCTTGCAGTCCATGGGACTCTCAAGAGTCTCCTCCAGCACCAGAATTCAAAAGCATCCATTCTTTGGCGATCAGCCTTCTTTATGGTCCAGCTCTCACTTCCATACATCACTCCTGGGAAAACCATAGCTTTAACTATACGGACCTTTGTTGGCAAGGTGATGTCTCTGCTTTTTAAGATGCTGTCCAGGTTTGTCATTGCTTTTCTCCCAAGAAGCAGGCGTCTCTTAATTTCGTGACTGTTGTCACCATCTGCAGTGATCATGGAGCCCAAGAAAGTAAAATCTCTCACTGCCTCCATTTCTTCCCCTTCTATTTGCCAGGAGGTGATTGCACCGGATAACCTGTCTCTAAAATCAGAACAGCCGTGTGCCACACTGCAGCTGGAAAAGCTGTGTCCAGGAGAGGCTGGGAAGTGCGGCTGTGGGATTGCTTTCATGGTTCGGGGATGCTTGCTAAGGACTCTGGCTGAGATCGGAGGGGGAGGTCTAGGTTCCTGGAGGTTTCTTTCCTCCTCTTTCTCCAGGTGAGTTATTACCAATGTTAGAAATCCAGACATAAACAGTGGTACCTCGGTTCTTGAACGCATTCTTTTCCGGAAGACCGTTTGGCTTCTGAAACGTTCGGAAACCGAGGCACAAAGGGCAAACGCAATTGAGAAAATCGAAAAACATGTAGCGGAAGCCACGGAACCATTTATTTCCGGGTTTTTGGCGTTCGGGTTCTGAAACGTCGACAATGGAGATGTTCAAGAACCGAGGTACCACTGTTATAAGATAATCGCCAAATGGGTTACGGTCACCACAATGGAATATACAGGCGCCCTTTCTTTCAATGAAAGGAAAAACCTCAAAGCGGTTTTAGGACACAACAAAACATCAAATAAAACCATCCAATTGGAGCGCTCGCAGGCCAGTGTTTCCCAGTTGTAGGTGTTTATACTACATTTTTAAAGATTTGCCTTGAGAGAGTCTTTGAACCTCTTTTGTTGACCACCAGCATTACGCTTTCCATTTTTAAGTTCGGAATAGAATACAGTCATAACAGTGGGTCACGAACGTCTTGGTACTCAGACGTTTTGGCTCCCGGAAGTGAGTGTTCCGGTTCGTGAACGTTCTTCGGAACCCGAATGTCTGGCGGGGCTTGCGATTGGCTGCAGGAGGTCAGTGGCGTAGCGTGGGGGGTGCAGGGGGGGCCGGGCGCAACATCTGGGGGGGGCGCGCTCGCACTCGCAGCTCTCTGCCCCTACCTGGCTCACTCACTCCACGGGTTAGGGGGCGCAAATTACTTGCCTTGCCCCGGGTGCTGACAACCCACGCTACGCCACTGCAGGAGGTTCCTGCAGCCAATCGGAAGCCGCGCCTTGGTTTCCGAATGTTTTGGAAGTCGAACGGACTTCCGGAACGGTTTCCGTTCGACTTCCGAGGTACCACTGTAGTTACTTGGGCAGGCTATTGTTAGGCATCCAAACAACATAACCAGTCGGATGATGTTGATGTTGAAGAATAATTGCTTCAAGGCTAAGTAACTCAGCAGCAGAGCAAATACTCTGTGTAGAAAAGACAGGGTCTGCCCAAGACATTATCCCGCTTGAGGCCAAATGGAAGGTGGTACTGCAACATGGGAGCCAACTCAAATCACAGAATCATAAGAGCTGAAAGGGGTCCTGAGGATCATCTAGACCAACCCCCTGCAATGCGGCTGCCCCATACGGGGGTCGAACCTGCAACCTTGGCGTTATCAGCCCCACGCTCTAACCAGATGGTGTAAGAGGTCAAGGTCCCTTCCCCCAATAAAATATTTGAGGGGGCTGTAGCTGCCTCTCCAGGGGGACGCAGGTGGTGCTGTGGGTTAAACCTCAGCGCCTAGGACTTGCCGAAAGGTCGGCGGTTCGAATCCCCGCGGCGGGGTGCACTCCCGTCGTTCGGTCCCAGCGCCTGCCAACCTAGCAGTTTGAAAGCACCCCCGGGTGCAAGTAGATAAATAGGGACCGCTTACCAGCGGGAATGTAAACGGCGTTCCGTGTGTTGCGCTGGCTCACCAGATGCAGCTTGTCACGCTGGCCACATGACCCGGAAGTGTCTGCGGACAGCGCTGGCTCCCGGCCTATAGAGTGAGATGAGCGCACAACCCTAGAGTCTGTCAAGACTGGCCCGTAGGGGCAGGGGTACCTTTACCTTTACCTAGCTGCCTCTCCAAAATTGATAGACATTGCCATTCAAATGGTGTTTGTGTGTGTGTGCCTCGTCTTGTCATCCATTTTACGGGGTGCAGCTTACATGCCCCCCCATATTTTACTCAAGTTGGCACCCTTGGTTCTAGATGCCTTGGCGTCAGTGCCGGATTAAACCCTGTGGAGGTCCCTAGGCAGTCGGAATCTCAGGGGCCCCCCTTGCAATTTATCTCCAAATACGCTTCGGATTTTGCCAACCCACAATTTTAACAAACCGATTTCAAGATACGTTGTCTCCGGGCCCCCCAAAACAGCCCTCTCTGCCTGTTTGGTCACCCGGCGCTGCTGCGCGTGGGTTGCGGCGACCGAAAGAAACACAAAATCCTCTCCGCCACGCGGAACGATAGTTCTGTCCGTTCCTCGGAAAAACAAACTTGCCCAACGTGACAAGTTAGCAGCCATGCGATAACAAGGGCTCTGGGAAGCTGCCAGCGCTTCCGGGCCCCACCCTGCGCTCCCGTCTCCCAGGATCCGTCTTTCTGCGAAAGAAAGGAGGAGCGCCGGGACTGGAGGGCGGGGGGGGGCGCAAGGCGAAGCTGCCGAGGCCATGTGCGCGCGGGCGGCGGGGCGGCGTCTATAAAAGGGGGCGCGTCCGGCGCGGCCTCTCCAAACCGTGCGCTCTTGGCGAGGTGGCGACTGTTGCGCGCTGCGCTCTGACCAAGTTCATTGTCTGCTGGGGCGATGCGTTCGTGGGCGCTGATGGTGCTGAGCGCGGCGGGGCTGGCGGCCGTCGCCGCCGCCGCTCCTCCTCCTCCTCCTCCTGCCGGTTCTTCCAGCAAGGAGCGCGCCTTCAAGGCAGCCTCCTGGGACGAGGTGAACGTCTTGGCGCACGGGCTCCTGCAGCTGGGCCACGGCTTGCGGGAGCACGTCGAGCGCACCCGCGGGCAGCTGCGCGAGATGGGCGGCCGCCTGAGCGCGCACAACGCCTCGCTCGCCAGCCTCGAGCGCTCCGCCGACGAGCAGCGCCAGCAGCTGGGGCGAGCGCAGCGCCTCCTCGACGGGCGCCTGGACGACCTCTCCAGCCGGCTCGGCGCGCTGGCCGGCGACCTGGCGGCGCACGAGGAGGCGGTGCGGGAGCGCCTGGGGCGCCTCGACGGGCAGCTGCTGCGCCAGGTGGGCGCCGAGAACGCCAGCGGCAGCCCCCGAGGGAGCGGACAAGCGGCGGAGCTGGGCGCCCTGCAGGTGAGTCCCGGGGTGCTGCCCCGGAGGGAAAGGAGCGGAGATATGAGGCATTCTGAACCCGAAAAGGGCTGGAGCAAAAGCACTCTGCACACGCTCAGAGGTGCCCTTTGCCCGGGAGCTATAGAGATAAAAGCCCTTACCTGTCCACAGTCCTTTTCTTCTGGAAAAGAGGGTGCTGGAACTCACCCACGAAGTTCTTGCAGTAACCGCCACACTTTTAACCTGTGCTTTTCTTCTCAATTAAAAGGTTCCTTTGAGTACCCCCAGTAAACAAACACTGTTCAAAAAGTTACCTGGGATCGCCCCTCTGAAGGAGGGAGGTAGCTGCCCTCTAGGAAATAGAGATTGAGTGGGGAGGAGAGGTAAACCCGGCTTTTGGTCCTGGCTTTCAAATGTTATGAGCTTTATCTAGCCTCAAATGCTTCCTTGAAATCTTTCAGGTACCCTACCAATCGATTGTTGAGACTTTTTCTAAGCGGTGCGAAGGGCTGTGAAATGTAAACCGTTTGATTAATAAAATGAATGGGTCGTGCAGAGAGAGAACAGGGGTGCCCCATATATTGGCATGAGTGCCTCTTTGCAGAAGAGCTGCGTGGGCACCAGATACAATAGCCCGGAGGGCACCAGGTTAGCAAAAGTGGAGATCGGACAGAATTTCCTTAGGGCAGAGGTTTTCAACCTTTCTGAATCCATGGCTCCCTTGGCCATCTGCTTTCTTTCTGCGGCACCCCTGTGGGGCTCAGGAGCCCAGTTATGTGCCCCCCCCCGCCCCCGCCTGGAGAGCTGGCAGCTTCTCACCCTTTTTCCGAACACCCTCCTAAGTTGTGGAGTGTTCCTCGAGCCTCCTCTCCTCTCCCTTCTCCTTGGGAGTCCTCTGGCCAGCCGCTGCTGCCTCTGAGCTGCCCCCCCCCGCCGCCCCAAAGAGAGGTTCCTGCTCACACTGCCCCACAGGGGCCTGGGAAGCACCCCCTGGCCTGCCCCGGAGGCACCATTCGCCTGCGGAGCTTGCAGCCAGGACTGATGCAACAAACAGCTGTGCAAGCCTTTAGGAGGCAGAGACGTGAGAGGGCATCAGAGGAAGGAAAGAGGGACAGAGGCCAATGTTGCCCATGGCACCCTAGACCATCATTTAAGGCACCCCAGGGTGCTATGACATGCCGGCTGAAAACTACTGCTTTAGGGAACTGGCAAGAGGTTGGAGAGCTGAGAGTCTGTTGCGAAAGAAGGACGCTATCTATCCTCTGGGTTTTCTCTCCCTTAAGCAAGTTTCCCGTTCATAATGATTTTTGCCGATGCTAGGTTTTCTCTATTACCATCATTTGGATTAGTATTCCTTATTAATTAATCAATCAATCAATCAATCAATCAGTGTGTCTAACGCTTTAGTGATAGATCTCTCCTCCCAGCAGCATGCAATATAAAGCTTGATCGAGGGAGAACAAAAACTTGACAGAGGGAGACAGAGAAAAGTATATGCAGTCGTCAGAGAGACCCGGGAACCTTAAGATCTTAATATGTGGCTAAGGGGAGACAAAGGGACACGGGTGGCACTGTGGGTTAAACCACAGAGCCTAGGACTTGCCGATCAGAAGGTTGGCGGTTTGAATCCCTGCGACGGGGTGAGCTCCCGTTGCTCGGTCCCTGCCCCTGCCCACCTAGCAGTTCAAAAGCACGTCAAAGTGCAAGTAGATAAATAGGTACCGCTCCGGCGGGAAGGTAAATGGCGTTTCCGTGCGCTGCTCTGGTTCGCCAGAAGCGGCTTAGTCCTGCTGGCCACATGACCCGGAAGCTGTACGCCGGCTCCCTCAGCCAGTAAAGCGAGATGAGCGCCACTACCCCAGAGTCGGCCACGACTGGACCTAATGGTCAGGGGTCCCTTTACCTTTAAGGGGAGACAATGAGGAAAGAGGAGGGAAACTGAGGCACGGGTAAGCATGGGAGGAATATGCCGTTGTTGCAATCACACATCCTTAGCCTCCACTCCACTAATTTATGAAACACGTAGTAATTTACATGTTTCCCAACGAATATGAGTCTACAGCCCTTATCAAGTTGTGCCGTTTGCAATTGCAACAAAGGAAATCCGAGTGTGGCTCGCGAGCCAATCGCTGGCTGTTTGCAAAGGTGGTTTATTAAGTTGAGCAAGCTAAGAGTAACCACAGGAGGTTCCAAGGTTTATTTCAATTCTGGTTGCCTTTCAAACAGTGCATGCATCTGCCCATGCTTTTGTTCACAATGCCCTATTGATACGAGCACTAAATATTGATTGGCCTTGAGAGGGATGGGCTTCTCCTGCCTTTGCAAGAATTCCCAGAGAAACCGGGTGCTCCCCGTTGTTCTGCAAACAAAGCCAAAAGTGAGATTTCAAGTGTGGAGCCTTAATTTGCTGGGGGGGGGGGGCTTCAGAGCTTTCATTGGTTCCATGCACTTCCGCGAGACAAGCTCCACGCTAGGGACTGCGAGTGACCCGCTTTGTAAGGTTGTTGTGAGAGCGAAGCAGCTGCCGATTTCGAAACTTCAATGTGTGTCAAACGCAGAGGTGTGGGACATTGCTGGGCTTCCACTGTCATCCTTGACCGTTGGCCATGTTGACTGAGGCTGATACGAGTTGGATAACTTCTGCAGGGCAGTGCTAGAAACTCACATGTGTGTATAGGTGTATATATCTAGGTATACCTATCTTAAACCTGGGTTGTGGTTGCCACAACCGTATGTCTAGGCACCCCCCCATGGCGCTGTGGGTTAAATCACAGAGCCTAGGACTTGCCGATCAGAAGGTCGGCGGTTCGAATCCCCGTGACGGGGTGAGCTCCCGTTGCTCGGTCCCTGCTCCTGCCAACCTAGCAATTCGAAAGCACACCAAAAAGTGCAAGTAGATAAATAGGTACCACTCCAGCGGGAAGGTAAATGGCGTTTCCGTGCGCTGCTCTGGTTCGCCAGAAGCGGCTTTGTCATGCTGGCCACATGACCCGGAAGCTGTACACCGGCTCCCTCGGCCAGTAAAGCGAGATGAGTGCCGCAACCCCAGAGTCGGTCACGACTGGACCTAATGGTCAGGAGTCCCTTTACCTTTACCTTACCTCTGGTTACGTACTTAATTTGTTCCGGAGGTCCGTTCTTAACCTGAAACTGTTCTCAACCTGAAGCACCACTTTAGCTAATGGGACCTCCTGCTGCTGCTGCGCTACTGGAGCACGATCTCTTTACCTTTACCTAAACCACTTTGAGGGTTTTTTCTTTAAAATATGAAAGTATAGAAATGAAATCAACAACAACAACAATACAGTGGTACCTCGGGTTACAGACGCTTCAGGTTACAGACTCCGCTAACCCAGAAATAGTACCTCGGGTTGCTTCAGGATAAGAACAGAAATTGTGCTCTGGCGGCACAGCAGCAGCAGGAGGCCCCATAAGCTAAAGTGGTGCTTCAGGTTGAGAGCAGTTTCAGGTTAAGAACGGACCTCCGGAACAAATTAAGTTCTTAACCTGAGGTACCACTGTACTGTATTTATCTACCTGTTTAATTTACAGAGCTGCCCCATAGATGAAGGACTCTGGCCCATATTGAGTCTGCAGCCGCTGCCCCCCCCCCCGATCCAACTCATTTAAAGCCATAAACAGGCAGGGAGGGGGTCATTCTTAACGCTAGATGGTTCATTTTCCTATTCCCTTCTTAGAGCCAGTGTGGTGTAGTGGTTAAGAGCGGTGGACTCATAATCTGGTGAACCGGGTTCACTTCCCCGCTCCTCCACATGCAGCTGCTGGGTGCTGGCTAGTCACACTTCTCTGAAGTCTCTCAGCCCCACTCACCTCACAGAGTGTTTGTTGTGGGGGAGGAAGGGAAAGGAGAATGTTAGCCGCTTTGAGACTCCTTAAAGGTAAAGGTAAAGGTACCCCTGCCCGTACGGGCCAGTCTTGACAGACTCTAGGGTTGTGCGCTCATCTCACTCTAGAGGCCGGGGGCCAGCGCTGTCCGCAGACACGTCGGGTCACGTGGCCAGCGTGACGAAGCTGCTCTGGCGAGCCAGAGCCGCAGACGGAAATGCCGTTTACCTTCCCTCCGGAGCGGTACCTATTTATCTACTTGCACCCGAGGGTGCTTTCGAACTGCTAGGTTGGCAGGCGCTGGGACCGAGCAACGGGAGCGCACCCCGCCGCGGGGATTCGAACCGCCGACCATGCGATCAGCAAGCCCTAGGCGCTGAGGTTTTACCCACAGCGCCACCCGCGTCCCTTGAGACTCCTTAGGGTAGTGATAAAGCAGGATATCAAAGCCAAACTCTTCTTCTTCTTCTTCTTCTTCTCTGAATGGACAGCGCCTGACGGCCACGGCAAGTCTGTTGAATGTGTGCCTTTGTTTCCAAATTTCAGAATTTGATGAGTCGTCAGAACCTGAAGATTGAGGAGCTGTTTCATAAGATTAAGCAACAGCAGTACAGAATGGACAAACAGAACCTGCAGATCAAAAGTCTCCAGAGTAAGGTATGACCCTACAGTTTGAAATTCTGGTTCAGAGACGCACTTTGCACATGCCTAAAAGCACTTTCCTGCAGACTGAATTCATTTTTTGGGAGGCGGAGGGCGGGGAAATTTAAACCGCTCTTTATCTCCACAGATAATTCTGCTGGATTCCACAGCAGAATGTATGTACCGTATTTTTTGCTCTATAAGACTCACTTTTCCCCTCCTAAAAAGTAAAGGGAAATGTGTGTGCGTCTTATGGAGCGAATGCAGGCTGCGCAGCTATCCCAGAAGCCAGAACAGCAAGAGGGATTGCTGCTTTCACTGTGCAGCGATCCCTCTTGCTGTTCTGGTTTCTGAGATTCAGAATATTTTTTCCCTTGTTTTCCTCCTCCAAAAATTAGGTGCGTCTTGTGGTCTGGTGCGTCTTATAGAGCAAAAAATATGGTATATTTTTAAATGAACATTATAGCATAAGGCATGATAAATTTAAGAGGAATAAAGTAACGCAACCAGCTAAAAAAATGTTGCAATCTAAAATATCTGGGCAAATAAACAAAAGCTTTTAACCTGGAAGTCCAAAAAAATGCATTGAGAGAGGCACTTTTCTAAATACTTTAAAGTTGCACATTTAAGTGCTGTGATAATGGCAGTATCAAATACAGTGGTACCTTGGGTTAAGTACTTAATTCGTTCCAGAGGTCCGTACTTAACCTGAAACTGTTCTTAACCTGAAGCACCACTTTAGCTAATGGGGCCTCCTGCTGCTACCGCACTGCTGGAGCACGATTTCTGTTCTCATCCTGAAGCAAAGTTCTTAACCTGAAGCACTATTTCTGGGTTAGCGGAGTCTGTAACCTGAAGCGTATGTAACCTGAAGTGTCTGTAACCCGAGGTACCACTGTATGGGAAAGGTGAAGGATAAAAGGATGGTTCTTGATACCAACAACTAATCCGCTAAACTGCATCTTCCCAGTTAGTCTAGGATAATCCATGTAGTGATTATAGATACTACTACTAATAATTTTATTAATTGTGCCCCAGTCACTCTGGGCAGCTTCCAACAAACAAAAAAGCACAATAAAGCATGAAGCATTAAAAAGCATTAAAATACAGGGTTGGCTTCAGATGTCCTCTAAAGCAGTGTTTCCCAACCGGTGTTCCGCGGCACACTAGTGTGCCGCGAGACGTTGCCTGGTGTGCCGTGGGAGGGAGGCGGGCGAGTCGGGCGGCGAGAGGCGGGGCGGCGGCGGCGAGGATCCGCGTCGAGCCGGGGGCGGCTCCGCGGTGGTGGTGCCGAGGTTTCTCTCTCCATTCTCCCCTCACACACACACAGAGGAAATAACACAGGATCAGCTGACAGGACCCGGCCAATGGGGCGGCGGCGGGGCAGCGCGCGCAAAAGGGAGGAGCGCGAGACAGCAGACGAGGAGGAGGCCGGCATGTCCGGGCAGCAGCAGCAACAACAGCAGCAGCAACTCCCGGCGACGGCTCCTCAAGCCCCGGGCAACCCTACTCCCTCACCGGCCTCGGCCGCCCTCCTGCTCCACCCGCCGCCGCCTCCCCCGCCGCCGCCGGCCACCTCGGCCCCGCCGCCGCCCCCTCCTCCGCCCGCTATCGCTGCCACCACCACAACAGCCGCCGCCGCCTCAGCTGGGCCCATGCCTGCCGGGAGCGGCGGCGGCAGCAGCAGCAGCAGCGCCCCGGCGCCCTTCCCTCCCGGCGTGACGCTGCGCGCTGACGTCACGGGGCTGTAATGGTGGTGTGCCTCAAGATTTTTTTCATCAAACAAGTGTGCCTTTGCCCAAAAAAGGTTGGGAAACACTGCTCTAAAGGTTGTGTAGTTCCTTATCTCCTTGACATCTGACGGAAGGGTGTTCCACAGGGCGGGGGCCACTACTGAGAAGGCCCTCTGCCTGGTTCCTCCTTCTTGAAGTGAGGGAACTGCCAGAAGGCCCTCGGAGCTGGACCCCGATGCAGGTTATTACATTAATCCTGCTTATGTTCTTATCTGTTTACAATTGATCTGTAAATATTCAATGAACCCATTTCCATTCTTTTATAAAAAGTTTGTTATCTCGAGTTCTTATACTTCCGTTAAGTTTTGCCGTTTCTGTATATTTCATAAGTTTTTGTATCCATTCTTCCTTTGCTGGGACTTCTTTCCACTTTTGGGGCAAGTAACATTCTTGCCACTGTAGTAGCAAACATGGATAAATTTGTACGCAATTTAGGTAGTTCTGTCCCCGTAATTTCCCAAAGGAAAGGCTTCTTCACTTTCCACTTGTGCTCTGGAAGGTAAATTATATTTCCCTCTCATTCTCTCTCCCTTCCGCCCTCTCCCAACCCACAGGTCAACATGCTGATTCCTTTGCACGTCCGAGAGAACGAAACGCAGGGTCCGAAATGGAAGGCGAGCGTTCAGCGAAGTGTGGACCGGTCCGGCAACCACAGCCAGAGTCCCCAGCCAAAGTCCCCGGCGATGACGAGTGAGTCCCACATCTTGCCCCACACATAGCTGATGGCAGGGGGGGACAGAATACCTTTACTTAAATATTTCCTTTGCTTAAAAGCGGAATCTTTTGGAGGCAGCGGGGGCTGCTGCTACCGCAGCTCAGTTCTGCTGCTCCCGAGTAGACCCATTGAAAATGATTGAACGTGGGAAACTGCCTCGTGCTAAGTCTCTCTAGCTCAGCGTTGTCTAAACCAGTGTTTCTCAAACGTGGGTCTCCAGCTGTTTTTGGGACTACAACTCCCATGATCCCTGGCTCACAGGACCAGTGGTCAGGGATGATGGGAAATGTAGTCCGAAAACAGGTAGTTTGGGAAACACTGGACGCTGATCAAGGTTTAAAACTGGGGTCTTTCCAAGCCCTATTTTCTCGTCCGGCTAGTAAGGTAAAGGTAATGGGACCCCTGACCATTAGGCCCAGTCGTGGCTGACTCTGGGGTTGCAGCGCTCATCTCTGGGGTTGCATGGTTGGACAATGGTACTTTTGTAGCCCCGGACATTGGAGGTGCCAGCGGTTCCCTGTTCCGACGTGCCTCTCTCTGCTTCGACACGGCACTCTACATGGGTCGCGGCCGTGTTGGAGCATTCGCGACACCCGCTATGGGGAATTCGAGCTGGGAGATTCGAGCCGGCCTCGTTCAGCTCCCAACCAGGCCTGTCTCTCGCTCGCTCGTTCGCTCTGGCTCTCAGCCAAGTGTGCGAGAGGTGAAATCTTTGCAAGGCATTCCCAGGAGCGACGAGGTTAATTGAGGAAGAAAGAGAGACGGGGAGAGAGAGAGAGTCCGGGGCAGGAAGTGGGGGGGGGAGAGAATACCGTGGCGCACACTTGGGCTGGCATGCCTCCAAGTAGGGGAAAGGCAGCGCTCCCCCTGCGGTGCTGGGATTCCAAAATAATTTGGCTGCACCAGGGCGGTGGAAACCTCAGAGGCTGAGCAAGGCTGGGCTTGCCTCATTGCTGCTGGAGCAGTTCTGCAGGGAGTTGCCTTCAAGAGTCCAGGGGGCTGTGCTGCCACAGTCCAGTGTCCCCAGAATTACTGTATTTTTTGCTCTATAAGACTCACCTTTTCCCTCCTAAAAAGTAAGGGGAAATGTGTGTGCGTCTTATGGAGCGAATGCAGGCTGCGCAGCTATCCCAGAAGCCAGAACAGCAAGAGGGATTGCTGCTTTCACTGCCCAGCTGCTCTTGCTGTTCTGGCTTCTGAAATTCAGAGTATTTTTTTCTTGTTTTCCTCCTCCAAAAACTAGGTGCGTCTTGTGGTCTGGTGCGTCTTACAGAGAGAAAAATATGGTGATCTTTCATTTCCATCTTCTTCTGCTAGGAACAGAGGAAGCAGCCTTAGCCAGGGTCCGAGCACTGGTCTATCCAGCTCGGAGGATCAGCCCCATAGTCAATTGTTACCAGCAATGTTAAGGGGCGCCCATTCCACAGAAAGCAAGTCCTTCACCCCTTCAAAATTAGGAAGCATTCCCTGAGAAAAACAGAGGAGGCAGAACAATCCCCAGGCCACCTTGGCTCCCCCGAAAGACCCTAAATCAGGGGTCAGCAAACTTTTTCAGCAGGGGGCCAGTCCACTGTCCCTGAGACCTTGTGGGGGGGCAGGACTAAGTCAACGAATTCCTATGCCCCACAAGTAACCCAGACGCATTTTAAATAAAAGCACACTTTCTATTCATGTCAAAACACCAGGCAGGCCCCACAAATAACCCAGAGATGTATTTTAAATAAAAGGACACATTCTACTCATGTAAAAACACGCTGATTCCTGTACCATCCGTGGGCTGGATTTAGAAGGCGATTGGGCCAGATCCAGCCCCCGGGCCTTAGTTTGCCTACCCATGCTCTAAATATTTCCTCTAAAAGGGAATATCGTGGGGGTGGGGACACCTTTCCCAATAGTTCTTTTTACTTACAAATCCAGTGAAATGAGCATCTCTTGCCTATGAATAGGGGAGGTCTGGGACAATGGTTTTGGGAACCATTTTGCAATTTCAAAAGAAAGACCTAATCTGGCCAAGGTGGGGCGATCAGCAAACATTATCAGGTATCTTGACAGACAAACCACAATCTCAAATGTCTTCTAAATGTCAGATAGCTGTTTATTTCCGGATGGGAAGGCGTTCCATAGGATGGACACCACCACCGAGAAGGCCCTCTGCCTGGTTCCCTGTAACCTCACTTCTTGCAGTGAGGGAACCGCCAGAAGGCCCTCGGAGCTGGACCTCAGTGTCCAGACTGAACAATGGGGGTGGAGACGCTCCTTCAGGTATACTGGGCCATTTAGGGCTTTAAAGTTCAGCACCAACACTTTGAATTGTGCTTGGAAACATCCTGGGAGCCAATGTAGGTCTTTCAGGACCGGTGTTATGTGGTCTTGGCAGCCGCTCCCAGTCACCCGTCTAGCTGCCGCATTCTGGATTAGTTGTAGTTTCCGGGTCACCTTCAAAGGGAGCCCCACGGAGAGCGCATTGCAGTAGTCCAAGCTGGAGATAACCAGGGCATGCACCACTCTGGCGAGACAGTCCATACTAATAAAAACTAATACTAATAAAAACTCTGTCACTGAGCTACAAGGGCTTCAGCAGAGGGCATATGCCCCAGAGGGGGTCTCCCCACACCCTGGCATATCTTGCCTGGTGTGTCTTCCGTCTCAACGATGCACCTGTTGAATTTCCCTCCGCGCTCCACGGCGATTCTCCTTGGGGAGCGCCGGAGAAAGGCTGCGATGGCAGCTGTTACGCTGTCTGTTGGGGGAATTTGCAAGGAGCGGAAAGAGCAGCTTATTATGGCCATGTGCAATGTTGTGTCCTGAGCTGGGGGGGAGAGGGAGGTGGGGGGAAATGGGTGAAAGTTGAAAGCCTTTCCTTGAGGGCTGCAGTCTTTTTCCGGCAGTTCCCAGGCTGAGATGCCCTTTCCCCTACTTAGTTCTCGCTCCCGCACCCCCTCTGCACATGCTGATCTAATATCTGCGGCTGCGAGAGAGATGGCTTTGTGTCAGAGGCTTTTTCCTGGAATGTGCTGCGGTCAGCCTGCAAAAAAAACCACGCCTGCCCGCTACCCAGAGAGCCTGTGACTCAACGCTAGCCGTGACTCATGGGAATGTGGTGGGGCGCTCGGGAAATTGCCCCTTCGCATCTCGCCTCCGCTGGAAACGTGCAGCATAGCACGAGGCTTAGCCGTGCCGTCACCTTTCCACGCTTGGACTACTGCAGTGTGCTCTACGTGGGGCTACCTTTGAAGGTGACCCAGAAACTACAACTAATCCAGAATGCGGCAGCTAGACTGGGGACTGGGAGCGGCCGCCGAGACCACAGAACACCGGGCCTGAAAGACCCACATTGATTCCCAGGACGTTTCCAAGCACAATTCAAAGTGTCGGTGCTGACCTTGAAAGCCCTAAACCAGGCACTCACAACCTGCGGCCCTCCAGCTGTTTTGACCTACAACTTCCATGATCCCTAGCTAACAGGACCAGTGGTCAGGGATGCTGGGAATTGTAGTCCAAAACATCTGGAGGACCAAATGTTGGGGATGCTTGCCCTAAACCAAGGCATGGGGTCCGGATCCGGCCCAATCGCCTTCTAAATCCAGCCCGTGGACGGTCTGGGAATCAGCGTGTGTTTATATGAGTAGAATGTGTCCTTTTATTTAAAATGCATCTCTGGGTTATTTGTGCGGCATAGGAATTCGTTCATTTCCCCCCCCCCAAATATAGTCCAGCCCCCCCCAAGGTCTGAGGGACAGTGGACCGGCCCCCTGCTGAAAACGTTTGCTGACCCCTGACCTAACTCATGCCCACAAGTTTGCACAAAGGAGACAAAGTGGAAATACGCTGTTCTATGGGGTGGGAGGGAAAAGGGGGTGTTCTGCAGCTTTCTGGGCGTGCTTTTGCCATTATCTGTTCCTCTGCATTTCCCCCCTTTCATATATAAAACAACAACTGTAAAAGCCAAATGGCAAAGCTGCGGGCGTCTGGTTCGTTTCTTGAGAACTAGCGACGTGATTTTGTTCAGGGTGGGCTCCGCAAAACCTCTGCCGCTGAACGGGGAGTCTTTTTCAAAGGCTTGCCCCTTCTCTCCTTCCTGCACCCCGTGATTCCACCCCACGGCCATTCTCTGCAGGACGGAGAAGCCGTTTCCAATATCCTACGTGGTACGGCTAGCGTCTCCGCCTGGCTGCCTGATGCAAGCATCTTTCCGAGCTGTGCATTAATGTGTGCCTCCCTCCCCTCTGAGAAACTGGGGGAAAGTTCATGTTTACTCGCAGGAACTCCCTCCCTCCCGATTTCCAACCTCGGATCCCGCCCTCTTCCTGATCTCCTGCTGCTGGCATCTGTTTTGAGAATCCCAGCTAAATTTATCCAAGGCAGGAGGGCGGGGGGCTGCTGAGCCCAGAAGATGCAGCGCCTTTTGCCGGGACAGAGGCTTCCTTTGTCTTCGGGAGAGCGGGGAGGGACGTCCTCCCCCCCTGCAGCTGTTTTTAGCCAGAGCAAAGTCCCCTCTCGCCCTGCCACATCTCTGCCCTTCGCCTCCTCGCGTGCCGGGTGCCTCTCCCAACTGGACTTTTGACACGGGGCTGTCGAAACCCCGACTCGCTGGCAGATGGTACCCATACCTGGGCAGAGTCCAGCCACCTGCCAGGGGCTCAGTGCTTGGCGCAGCTCAGGGGTGGTGCAGAGAGAAGGAACCTTAGAATTCTAGAGTTGGAAGGGACCCCGAAGAATGGACGCGACGGGGACATGGGTGGCGCTGTGGGTTAAACCACAAAGCCTAGGACTTGCCGATCGGAAGGTCGGCGGTTCGAATCCCCGCAACGGGGTGAGCTCCCATTGCTCGGTCCCTGCTCCTGCCAACCTAGCAGTTCGAAAGTACGTCATGTGCAAGTAGATAAATAGGTACCACTCCAGCGGGAAGGTAAATGGCATTTCCGTGCACTGCTCTGGTTTGCCAGAAGCGGCTTAGTCCTGCTGGCCACATGACCCGGAAGCTGTACGCCAGCTCCCTCGGCCAATAAAATGAGATGAGCACCGCAACTCCAGAGTCGGTCACGACTGGAACTAATGGTCAGGGCTCCTTTTAAATAATCACGGCAGTAAGACCCGAGCCTTGTGACATGACATTGTGGCCGCCCCTGACCATGTGCAGAGTGTTTCTCTCCCCTTTTGCGCAGCACATCTGGGATCAGGACTAACAGAATTCCAAGCTGCATGGGGAGTAGTTTCCAGCAGGCTTCAGCTGTGGCTTCTCTTTAAGAGGGATAAGCTTTGGCAACACAGTTCCCCCTCCACGCTTTTGCTGCCTGCCAGCTGCTGTCTGCAACTTCGGCTCTGCAGTTGTTAATGTCAGGCTGACATTTGGCCGAGGGTGGCTTGGGCAAAGTCCGAGTGGCGTTCCGTGTTCACGTGTTGGTGGCCGCATCCCGCAGGATCCTGTTGCGGTTGCTGCCTGCTCTCAATTCCTCTTTCCTCCCCCTTTTTAAACATTGGATTCATCTGCAAGTTAATAGTCTACCAGTTGAAGTTTTTGCCTGCAGGCAATAGTGAACATCTGTGACCCTCAACACGGCCAGCGGTTAGGGCTTTATTTATTGAGGAGCGCTTCTAAACCGCTTCGCATTTTGCAATCTATAAAACACAGTAACGCAGGAATGCGAGAGACGGCAAAACCACATTATTGTTGTTGTTTAGTCGTTTAGTCGTGTCCGACTCTTCGTGACCCCCTGGACCAGAGCACGCCAGGCCCTCCTGTCTTCCACTGCCTCCCACGGTTTGGTCAAACTCATGCTGGTAGCTTCGAGAACACTGTCCCACCATCTCGTCCTCTGTAATCCCTTCTCCTTGCGCCCTCCATCTTTCCCAACATCAGGGTCTTTTCCAGGGAGTCTTTTCTTCTCATGTGGCTGCCAAGGTATTGGAGCCACAGCTTCAGGATCTGTCCTTCCAGTGAGCACTCAGGGCTGATTTCCTTCCGAATGGAGAGGTTTGATCTTTTTGCAGGGAGGGAACTGCCAGAAGGCCCTCCAAGCTGGACCTCAGTGTCCGGGCTGGACGATAGGGGTGGAGACGCTCCTTCAGGTATACTGGGCCGTGGCCATTTAGGGCTTTAAAGGTCAGCACCAACACTTTGAATTGTGCCTGGAAACGTACTGGGAGTCAGTGGCGTAGCGTGGGGGGTGCAGGGGGGGCGGCCGCACCGGGCGCAATATCTGGGGGTTAGGGTTAGGGGGCGCAAATCCATGGGTAAGGGGGCGCAAATTACTTGCCTTGCCCCGGGTGCTGACAACCCATGCTACGCCACTGCTGGGAGTCAATGTAGGTCTTTCAGGACTGGTGTTATGTGGTCTTGGCGTATTAACGGCAAAAGTTTAATAAGGCCAATCAAATCAATGCTTGTTCTAGGATGCTAAAGTGGCTTTTGCTTCTTCAATCCGCAGAGTTCCCAGCAAGCTGCCACCAGCTGTTTCTGGAAGGGGAACAAGCCAGCGGTGTTTTCCAGATCCAGCCCTCTGGCTCCCAGGTCTTTGAAGTCTTCTGTGACATGACTCCAGGTAAAAATGCGGGGTTTAGAGAAGCGGGAGAGAAATTTGATACAGTTTGCATTTAAGGTTTTCTTAACCTGGTTCTGGGATGCGGGTGGCGATGTGGGTTCAAGGTACTAAAACACGTTGCACACACAAAAATCATATGGAAAAGATTACAGATCAAAGCAACACACCGGTGGGTGTGTTTTGGTGGGGTGAGGGAGGCAGGGGGCACAAGCCAGATGTCTGCAGGCTGATTGAAATTTCCCCTCCTTTTTATTTTGCAGATGGTGGGGGCTGGACAGTGATTCAGAGACGTCTGGATGGGTCTGTCGATTTTGACCAGCTGTGGGAACCCTATAGAAATGGATTTGGGAATATGAGTGGTAGGTCTCTGCTGCTTGCTTCCCCCTCTTTTAAAATTGCTACCTGCTCATGTGTAGGATATAGGGACGCGGGTGGCGCTGTGGGTTAAACCACACAGCCTAGGACTTGCCAATCAGAAGGTCAGCGGTTCGAATCCCCGCGACAGGGTGAGCTCCCGTTGCTCAGTCCCTGCTCCTGCCAACCTAGCAGTTCGAACGCACGTCAAAGTGCAAGTAGATAAATAGGTACCGCTCCGGCGGGAAGGTAAACGGCGTTTCCGTGCGCTGCTCTGGTTCGCCAGAAGCGTCTGAGTCCTGCTGGCCACATGACCTGGAAGCTGTACGCCGGCTCCCTCGGCCAATAAAGCGAGATGAGCGCCGCAACCCCAGAGTCGGTCATGACTGGACCTAATGGTCAGGGGTCCCTTTACCTTTTACATGCGTAGGATCAGGGCTCTGAAAAAAACACTTGCACTGCAGAGCACCGCAAAAGGAAAGGCTTCGTTACACGCTGGATTTTGTTTTTTTAATGCATTTCTCTTTCTCAAATGTAATTATAAGTTTTGCGGTGAAGGCCAACTGATCAGTTAGAATCAGTGGTTTGCAACCGCTGTGCCGTGGCACCCTGGGGTGCCTTGAAGGATGGTCAGGGGTGCCACGGGCCACACTTTCGGTTTCTATTTTTAAATCGTAGAGCCTTTCGTACATGTCAGTCACAGTCAACCCAGCCAGATGGGTGGGGGGATATAAATAATAAAAATATTATTATTGTTGTTGTTGTTGTTGTTTTGTTGTTGTTTTGTTGTTGTTGTTGTTGTTTGTTGTTGTGAGACATGTTCCTCATGAGGAGGAAGGAAAATAGAGAAGGAGAAGGGGTGGGTGAGAGAAACAGTAAAACTTTCATTCTTTACAGAGTATATGAGCGATGCCTTTTTGTCAGCTTTGAGTGGATAGGTCTCTCGTTAAGTTCGACAACTGTAATCGCTTTTACACATGTTATCACTGAGTGCCGTAAGTGTCACGCAACAGCCCTGTGAGGTAGGCTAGGCTGAAAAATTGGGGCCAGGGAGTCTCTTCCCTCAGTGGCACTGGGTCGCCCTTGTCTCAGATCCCGCCCTGTAATGGCTAATTTGCTTTTCTCCGAACCCATAATCTGAAGTGACATTGTAAGCTCCTAGAGGTCGAGACCTGTCTCCTGTGTAGAGTTGTACCTTGGATCCCAAACACCCCGGAACTTGGACGTTTTGGCTCCCGAACGCCGCAAACCTGGAAGTGATTGTTCCGGTTTGCGAACGTTCTTTGGAACCCGAACATCTGGCGCGGCTTCCGATTGGCTGCAGGAGCTTCCTGCACCCAATCGGAATCCATGCCTTGGTTTCCAAATGTTTTGGAAGTCGGACGGACTTCCGGAATGGATTCCGTTTGACTTTCGAGGTACGGCTGTATATCTTCTGCACATCAGGATTTCAGTGTTTGATTTAGGGAAGGGTTTGTACCAACCTGACCAATGAGGAATTTGTCAGCAAATGGCAGAAAACCATGGCTAAAAAAGCCATCTCTATTGGTCTGTCACCCCCCCCAACTGTATTACCTGGGTTATGAAGGCGCCCAAAAGACGTTAAAGCAAAGATTATGAGATAATACACACAGTGACTTGCGATCTTGATCAGCAGTCTGTAGTCCGCTGGCAGTAGGAGTACAATATGGGCATGTCTTTAAGTTAACACCTTACATTAAAAACCTGACAGTACCAAACTATTGAAGGCTTTTCACCAAAGCCAGACTAAATGTCTTTCCTTCTGCAGTGTTGAGAGGAGTTCCCTACCAAGACAGACTTTGCTCGTGTGCTCAAGACATTGATTCCATAAAACATATTTTGTTGCACTGTGCAAAATATGAGCAAGCCAGGGCTGAACTGATATTACCCTTTCTGGTACCTTTCCCGGGAAAATCAGAGGCTGACTATGTCAGGTTCCTATTGGAAGACCGGACAAACGCTAGAACATTAGCAGTGGCAAAGTTTTTATCGGTGGTTGCAAGAACCAATGATCCCTATATTCTGAACAAAATGCTTGTTTAACCTGGAGGTGGGCTGTATGAATTGTGTATTGCTTTGTAATGATTTGTTGGGTCTCTGGACCGGAATAAAGATTGATTGATTATTTGATGATTGATTGATTGATTGATATCTTCTGCTGGTGGGCTCTGACAGGATCTTTTTTCTTTTCTTTTTGTTTGTTTCTTTGGCCGTTCTCTTTCAGGCGACTTTTGGCTGGGCTTGGAAAAGGTCCACCAGATCACGAAGGACGGGCGGTTCCACCTCTCGATCGAACTTCAGGACTGGGAGGGCAGCTCGGAGAGGATCCAGTTCCTTTTCAGCCTGGGGGGAGAGGACACTGCTTACACACTCAGTCTCCTGGGCCCTATTCTGGGGCAGCTGGAGAACGCCATGGGCGACTTCCCGCAGCTGCCCTTTTCCACGCGGGATCAGGACCATGACCTCAAGGGGGATGCCAACTGTGCCAAACACCTTTCAGGTCAGTCCTGATTTTTATTTTTATTTTTTTCCTCTTCTATAATTTTTATTCAATTTTCTTTTTATCATTTTAAAATATCCATTTAAACCACCTTCAAACAGGCATAGGCAAACTCGGCCCTCCAGATGTTTTGGGACTACAACTCCCATTATCCTTTGCTAACAGGACCAGTGGTCAGGGATGATGGGAGTTGTAGTCCCAAAACATCTGGAGGGCCGAGTTTGCCTATGCCTGCCTTAAAATATCAATGACTTCCCTTCTTCTCTTTCCACAACCCTTTTTGACACCTGGGAATTTCTGTCTGCACTATCCCCAACTAAAGGGACTCTTGATTGTATCCTTTATTTTATTTAAAGGTTTTATCTTTCTGTGGTTCATTTTGTATACCATACATCCCTGCATATTTAAAATGAACTAAACCATTCGGTTCAAATCCCCGCGACAGGGTGAGCTCCCATTGCGCGGTCCCTGCTCCTGCCAACCTAGCAGTTTGAAAGCACGTCAAAGTGCAAGTAGATAAATAGGTACCACTCCGGCGGGAAGGTGAACGACGTTTCTGTGCGCTGCTCTGGTTCACCAGAAGCGGCTTAGTCATGCTGGCCACATGACCCAGAAGCTGTACGCTGGCTCCCTCGGCCAATAAAGCGAGATAAGTGCCACAACCCCAGAGTCGCCCGCGACTGGACCTAATTCGGACCTTCTGATCGGCAAGTCCTAGGCTCTGTGGTTTAACCCACAGCGCCACCCGCAGCATACATAAATAGTCCTTTTTGACACCTGGGAATTTCCTTCTTGAATTATCCCCAACAAAAAGGACTCTTGACTGCTTCCTTTATTTCATTTTATTTATAAATGTTTTCCAAAAATTTAATACATACAGATTTAAATATACATGCAAATTTTGATTACCGCCATTCTATGCTTCTAATCAGATTCATGCCATCGCACTCCGAACACCAAATCCTTTTAGCCGCACAAACCTAAGCATAGCCGAAACAAAATAAAAAAATTCCTTCCAGTTGCACCTTAAAGGTAAAGGTACCCCTGCCTGTAGGGCCAGTCTTGACAGACTCTGGGGTTGTGCGCCCATCTCACTCTATAGGCCGGGAGCCAGCGCTGTCCGGAGACACTTCCGGGTCACGTGGCCAGCGTGACAAGCTGCATCTGGCGAGCCAGAGCCGCACACGGAAATGCCGTTTACCTTCCCGCTAGTAAGCGGTCCCTATTTATCTACTTGCACCCAGGGGTGCTTTCGAACTGCTAGGTTGACAGGCCCTGGGACCGAGCGACGGGAGCGCACCCCGCCGCAGGGATTCGAACCGCCGACCTTCCGATCGGCAAGTCCTAGGCTCTGTGGTTTAACCCACAGCGCCACCCGCGTCCCTTACAGTTGCACCTTAGAGACCAACTAAGTTTGTTATTGGTATGAGCTTTTGTGTGCATGCACACTTCTTCAGATACACCTAAGCATGTTTGCCATGGAAGCAAGCAAACCCCGCTGTGTTCATTGGGACGTACTCCCTTGCCGCAGTGCTGCTCAGGTTTGGAGCTCAAGAACTGCCATTTTTGAAGCATTTTCCAAGTAATGAAATCCATTGTTCTGTGGAAAGGCCCTTGGCTGATGTCTGCCCTTGCTGTTTCTTTTTGCTCGAAAGGAGGCTGGTGGTTCAGCAGTTGTGGTCACGTCAACCTCAACGGAAAATACTTCCGCTCCATCCCACGCCAGAGGCACGAGAGGAAGCAAGGCATCTTTTGGAAGACCTGGAGAGGACGCTATTACCCTCTGAAGTCCACCACTATGAAGATCCGGCCTGCGGAGATGGGCCTGGCATCCTAAATGCCCAGGAGGTCGCAGGAGAGAGTCTGGGTGGCCCTCCGTATTCCTGCCTGCCGCCGAGATAACAGCTGCAGCCCCTCGCTCCTGTCTGGGACGATTTGTGGGGTGTCTCTTATCGTTCTCCAGTTGAAAGCCTTCCTTTTGCAAGACTTAGTGTTGGGGTGGGAGGGGGGGCAAAGCAACGACTGTCGTCTTCGCGTTGGGAAGAGCGGCACAGGGGATCGCTTGGGTGGGTGGGAAAGGAACGGGCATCAGGATTCATTTCACGGGCATGTTGGGCGTTGGCAAGAAAAGGCAGTTCAGCATCTTTGAGGCCTGGTGTTAGCTGTTGATGAAATCTTGGGTATCTGGTCTTCTCGAGTGCCATCGTGTGATAAAATTGGCGTTCTTGCTCGTCCGACAGAGATTTGTGCTGTCGCCCACGTGTCTTTATACCCACTTCCTTACGCCTCGAAATGAGGAAGGCCTTTGTCTCGCGTGGAATGTCCCAAACAGAAGGAGGGGCTTCTCCCGCTCTATGGCAGTAGCCAGCAGGACTCTCTGCTGCCGAGAATTTCCCACAATGCCCCCTGCGGTAGCATCTCTCTGGGGCATTCTGGGAAATTTAAACGGTTACCAGGCCTGGCGTTGCTCAGAGCGACAGGCTGGGTATTTTATTTTTTAAGGGGGGGGGAGGACAAAGCAAGGATACGCTCGCCAGTGATTGTCCAGATTGTGCGTACAAACAGCATATCCTTGGCTGATTAAATATGTAGTCGCGATTGAGCCTTGGGGCGCCCGAAAATCGGACCGCCCTCCGTAGGCGTCCCTCGTGGCAGCTTGTGGTTGGGTCCGTCCTTCACCGCTTGGAACAGGGTTCAGAAGGATGGCGCCACTGCGAAGGGCATTGGGGGGACACTGGTTGGGGGAGATAGTTGGGCGGGGCGGCACCTCCTCTCCCTTGCCCAAGGAGGGGGCGTTGCTCCTGTTGCAAAATCCGGTCCTCCCTTAAAGAGGGCACGTGTTGCGGTGAGACCTGGTAACCAAACCCTGTGTTGTGGGTGGGTTTGATTGGATAGCCACAACACCCAATTGGTAGGTCCCTTGGTGCAGGGTTTAATCAGGCCAATGGGACGCAGGCTAAATGGATCAAGGGGACCTGTTTATGCCCATGCACTTGACCCAGAGGTTTCTCTTTTGGCGCGTGCATTCGGAACACCCGCCCACCTCTCCCTACTTTTAGGGCTTTGCGCTTGACCTTCCTATGCCGTCGTGTGTCGTCTGTCGTTGGGACAGGGGCACGGCAGGAATTTCCCCCACTTGGCTAATTGGCTGGTGCCATTTGGGTTTCCCCTGCCGCGTAGCAAATCGTCACAACTTGTAAGGTTGCGGATAGGCTCCGGTTCAGGTGATAGGGATGGGAGAACGCTCTCGCCATCCCTACGTGAAGCGTATTCCGTTAAAGGAAACCAGGGACTCGATGGTTTGGTCAACCCCTGAGAGGGGGTTGTGCCCATGCCTGAGTCCAGGGGGGGCATTTGGGTGGCGGAGTTAGCTTTCCACTTATCCAGGTGTTCACCCTTGGCTGACCTATGATAGAGCTCTGGGTCAGCGCTACCTGCAAGGGTACAGGGAGCTAGTCGAACCAGAGCCTATGCAACCAGTCACTTGCTGTAATCAATAAAGTTGTGGCCTAAATTCTACCAAAAACCAAACCGAAATTTGAGTCTTGTCTGAATTTATTTAAGGGGGAGGTTTAAAGGTCTGAACACACAGCTGGACAAACCTCTGCCCAGCCAGCCTCCGCAGTTGCTGTTGTGTCCAACCGCCCCTTCCCCATTTCTTCCTCGTCCGTTTTTTTTAAGTCATATTGACTCAAGTTTGCTCCAGTGTTTAGCTGCTTGTTCTTGTACATAGTAGCAGTTGTGCTAGTCGGTGTGTTGGTTTTAAGAGTGCTTTTATCCTGGTCTCTCTCTTTTTATTATTGTGGTTTTAAAACGAAGCGTCGGTGAGTGATGTGGTTATAACTTATAAACGTTGCCTTGGAAGAGGCACCGGTAAGACGTTGGAGGGTGGGGGAGAGTTGATTTCTGCTCTTCATTTCTCTCTTTTTTTATACTTTAAATGTGTGACTCTTTGGTCAGTGAAGTGTCTTTTTAATAAAACCTGTGAACCGGTCGTGTTGCGATTCCTTGCCGTGCAATAATAATAATAATAATAATAATAATAATAATTTTTTATTTATACCCCGCCCATCTGGCTGAGTTTCCCCAGCCACTCTGGGCGGCTCCCAATCAGTGTTAAAAACAGTACAGCGTTACATATTAAAAACTTCCCTGAACAGGGCTGCCTTAAGATGTCTTCTGAATGTCAGGTAATTATTTATCTCTCTGACATCTGATGGGAGGGCGTTCCACAGGGCGGGCGCCACTACCGAGAAGGCCCTCTGTCTGGTTCCCTGTAGCCTCACTTCTCGCAATGAGGGAACCGCCAGAAGGCCCTTGGCGCTGGATCTCAGTGTCCGGGCTGAACGATGGGGGTGGAGACACTCCTTCAGGTATACAGGACCGAGGCCGTTTAGGGCTTTAAAGGTCAGCACCAACACTTTGAATTGTGCTCGGAAATGTACTGGGAGCCAATGCAGATCTCTCAGAACCGGTGTTATGTGGTCCCGGCGGCCACTCCCAGTCACCAGTCTAGCTGCCGCATTCTGGATTAATTGCAGTTTCCGGGTCACCTTCAAAGGTAGCCCTACGTAGAGCGCATTGCAGTAGTCCAAGCGGGAGATAACCAGAGCATGCACCACTCTGGCGAGACAGTTCGCGGGCAGGTAGGGTCTTAGCCTGCATACCAGGTGGAGCTGGTAGACAGCTGCCCTGGACACAGAGTTAACCTGCACCTCCGTGGACAGCTGTGAGTCCAAAATGACTCCCAGGCTGCGCACCTGGTCCTTCAGGGGCACAGTTACCCCATTCAAGACCAGGGAATCCCCCACACCAACCCGCTCCCTGTCCCCCAAAAACAGTACTTCTGTCTTGTCAGGATTCAACCTCAATCTGTTAGCCGCCATCCATCCTCCAACCACCTCCAGGCACTCACACAGGACCTTCACCGCCTTCACTGGTTCTGATTTAAAGGAGAGGTAGAGCTGGGTGTCATCTGCATACTGATGAACACCCAGTCCAAACCCCCTGATGATCTCTCCCAGCGGCTTCATATAGATGTTAAAAAGCATGGGGGAGAGGACAGAACCCTGAGGCACCCCACAAGTGAGAGCCCAGGGGTCTGAACACTCATCCCCCACCACCACTTTCTGGACACGGCCCAGGAGGAAGGAGCGGAACCACTGTATGACAGTGCCTCCAGCTCCCAGCCCCTGAAGACGGTCCAGAAGGATGTTATGGTCAATGGTGTCAAAGGCCGCTGAGAGATCCAGCAGAACTAGGAAACAGCTCTCACCTTTGTCCCTAGCCCGCCGGAGATCATCAACCAAGGCTGTGGGTTTGCCCTGTGGGTGGTGATGGAGCGGGGTGGGGGAACTTTCCTTCCTTGGAGGTTTCCCCCGATTCTGGCTGCGACTGTGCTGCAACCAAATGTGGCGTTGAGCCCAAGTTCCCTGGCTCCGCTGCTGCCGAAGGAACCGCCGCGAGTGGACTCAGCAGATGGTCAGGCAAGAAGAAGAAGAAGAGTTTGGATTTGATATCCCACTTTATCACTACCCAAAGGAGTCTCAAAGCGGCTAACAATCTCCTTTCCCTTCCTCCCCCACAACAAACACTCTGTGAGGTGAGTGGGGCTGAGAGACTTCAAAGAAGTGTGACCAGCCCAAGGTCACCCAGCAGCTGCAGGTGGAGGAGCGGAGACGCGAACCCGGTTCCCCAGATTACGAGACTACTGCTCTTAACCACTACACCACACACTGGCGCTGCCTGGACTGCTAGTGGCGCAACAAAAACTCGGGCCATCTCTAAGACCTCTGACCCGCAGAGGCTGAGGAATAAGCCCCACTTATGCTCCTTTGGGGGGGACGCGGGTGGCGCTGTGGGTAAAAGCCTCAGCGCCTAGGGCTTGCCGATCGAAAGGTCGGCAGTTCGAATCCCCGCGGCGGGGTGCGCTCCCGTTGTTCGGTCCCAGCGCCTGCCAACCTAGCAGTTTGAAAGCACACCAGTGCAAGTAGATAAATAGGGACCGCGTACTAGCGGGAAGGTAAACGGCGTTTCCGTGTGCGGCTCTGGCTCGCCAGAGCAGCGATGTCATGCTGGCCACGTGACCCGGAAGTGTCTCCGGACAGCGCTGGCCGCCGGCTTCTTGAGTGAGATGGGCGCACAACCCTAGAGTCTGGCAAGACTGGCCCGTACGGGCAGGGGTACCTTTACCTTTATGCTCCTTTGACCCTTCCGTCAGCTCGGTTGCTTGGAGGGAGCAGGTGAACCGAGCGAGGGATGAGTCCCATGAATCGGAGGCTGGGGCGAATGGCAATAGAGTCACGAGTGAAAACCATGGTTCCGATGCCGACATGGTGGGCGATTGATGGAACACAGTGCTCTAGCCAGTGTTAACGGGAAAATCCGAGGGCTCCCTTGGACAAAAACAAAGACACCAACCAGGTTTACTTGGAGCAAAACAGCAGCCTATAGGTTTGGCCTTTATTGATCTGTTGCAACAGGGTGCTCCCCTCACTTGCAGGAGAGAGGAGGGACCCAGAAAAATGGCGCGCAAGGCCTTATATGGACTTTTGAAATTGCCACCCTGTAGATCAAGACCACCCCCAGAAACATCATACATACATCACAGAAGGGGTGTAACCTAAGACCACCCCTCAGATACATCACACCTACATCACAGAAAAGGCGGTCTAAAACAGAAATTTGAATATTGTTTTCTCCTGTTGTTGTTTATCTCCTGTCTGGCAGGTTACTTGACTGGATTGCCTGAGGAGCCTGGCCATTCTTTTGTAGTGATAAATACTTATTTCCTGGGCCAGGTCACAGGCTCACACCCTATTCAAACACAGACATACCCTTAAGACCGGATTTGTGAAGGAAAAGACAGTGGGGAGGCTTTTCCATTTTGACCTTGCAGAGAAAACATTTGCTCAGTTTAGGAATCAAAATGGCTTCAGGTGGGTCTTCCAGTACTGATCTACGTACGTGCAGTTATGAACATTACCATATATCTAAGACCTCAAAATTCCTATCACACCAGAATGGTCAGCTCTGAATTGGGCTCTGTTCAGTGATTTCGCTCAGTGTTTCAACTCAGTGAGTGTCCGAATCTGGCTGTGCTCTGATGTCCATCCGATCCCATCCTCGTCGCCAGTATTAAGTAGTGGGTTGATAAAGCAGACAGCACAGAGATTTCTCCAAGTGGTTCTTCATAGTACGGTGGTGCCCCGCAAGACGAATGCCTCGCAAGACGAAAAACTCGCTAGACGGAAGGGTTTTCCGTTTTTTTGAGTCGTTCCGCAAGACGAATTTCCCTATGGGCTTGCTTCGCAAGACGAAACGTCTTGCAAGTTCTTGCGAGTTTGTTTCCTTTTTCTTAAAGCCGTTAATAGCCGCTAAGCTGCTAATAGCCGTGCTTAGCAAGCCAAAAAAACCGCAAGGCGAAGAGACTCGCTGTCAGGGGCTCAGGAGCAGAGGCGCAGGGGAGAGAGGAAATGGAGAGCGAAGGGGAAGAATCTGAGGGCAGCGGAGGGCAGAATGACAGTGACCCGAGAGATTCCATGAGCCTCTCCAGTGAATCAGAAGATTCCCAGAAGGGGGCGCCGATGGCCAGGGCAAGGGAGGTCCCAGGGGGGACACACCAGAAGCAGGGGGCCAGCGGAGACTCCCAAAGCAGTAGCTGGAAATCAGGGCCAGCTTCCCCACCGGAGCGTAGTGGGGGGGAAGAGCCCCATAGGTCAGAGTCAGCGTCTCCTCCGGCAAGCAGGGAGGAGGGGTCAGACCCAGCTGGCATCCCCGAAGAGGGAAGCAGCGACAGGAGCAGTATAACGGTCAGAAGGAAGGTGGCAGGCTGGGCGCGCGCGCCAAGTTCAAATGTACAGGCGCGCGGGACAGCAGAAAGCACGGATTGGGAACCAGGTCCTAAAGCTCACCAGAGGGAGGGGGAAGACTCAGGGGATTCAGCCTCAGAAGAGTCTAGGAAGGGCAAGACCTCGGCGGACAAGCGGACCCAGAGGAAAAGGGAGCAGAGGAAGAGGTGGAGCAAGGCTAGGGTCTTAAACTGGTGTCTGGGGGGAGGAGACTCAGACGGAGCTTCAGCGGTCTAGCGTTTAAGACGCAGAGCTGCGCGC